TGAACAACAAAACTATTGAAATGAGTTAATGAGTTTCTGCTATGATTTATAATTCACAAGTCTACTTACCTTATGAAAGCTTATTTGTCGATCTCAACTGAGTCACACCAGCAACTTCCCAACACCAATATCACTAAATAACTTGGCATGATATACCATCAAGGTTCAATGCAGCTTAAAACAAGCTTACCTCTTTCCAGCTGTTCGCAGAAAAAATATACATGATACAACATTTGTATTTCAGTGGCTGTATACTGTGATGTGTTTATAGCAAAGTAAATAAATAAAATAAAATAAAAAAGTAGAGGGTTTAATTTGACCATCAAACAATTAAATTAAAACTAGTGCAATATTTTTCTCTGTAATTCCTGTGCAAATATACATTTGTTCTGTGTTTAAGTCCAACTTGGTCCTCCCATGTTCCATGTAGTTACAGGGTAAATACAACAGTTGCGGGCTGTAAATTAATGTGGTGCTTGTTCCCCCTTATTCCATATTTACAGGGTAAACACAACAGTTGCGGTTTGTAAATTAAAGTGGTGCTTGTTCCCCCTTATCCCATGTCGTTACAGGGTAAGTGGCTACAACAAATTGCGCTGAAACGATTGTTTATACAGTAGGACATACATATATTATATATCCGGTAATATATCAATAAACATGGTGGACTGTTTTATTTAATTCAAATATTGTTTGAAATTTACTATAGGCCTACTGCTGGGTTAAATTAACCCAAAATGTTTTTTTTAATTAAAATCACACACAATATGACAATGGTAACAACACAGGCAACAGATATTAAAAGATTAATATTTATTACACCAGTTCAGAAAAAAAGCAAAGCAACTCCATACTTTTACAGCTTATAAAGCTTATACCAAATTCTTTGAAAAGCTTGTTTAAGAACAAATTTAAGATTTTGTTCAATTTGTTCATGTATTTCACCCACTGACGAAGTTAAACTATTATGGCCAAACCATCACGCCAATAAACGCACAGTAATAAACACTGAAAGTCAAGATTAAACTGTGTATTATAGCGAACTGAAAGGATTTGACCTTTTTAGGATTTTACTGTTTTGATCCACGTCCTCAAGCACCATTTTTACTAGTTCAGTTCCCGGTTTTACCGCTCATCAGTCACCGCTCAAAGTTGTGAGAACATACTGGGACAAAAAAAACCCCTCCAGTTTTAAAAGAACACATTACAGTCAGTTACAGACAGACTTGCAAATATAAGATTGTTAGGTCATACATACCACGTTATATTAGAATAGGTACCCCTTAGTTTCAAAATACTTACAGTAGAAATAATTTGTAATTTTACAGGTTATTACCCATTTATTCCCCAAATTTAGCATATTATTCACTTATACCTACATGGAGGTACTGAATAGGTAATATAATTACAAAAAAGTTCCGCTGTAAATTCTGTTTACTTATGCAGTACGTTGCAGGTTGTAATATAAAGCGTTACCGAAACATAAACTAGCCCTTGATCTAGTGACACTACATTCATTAAAATAATCAAAACTTCTCAATGATACTCATTGTTGTCACACCCCTGTGGACTGTCGATTATGGTTTCTCCCTCTGTGTCCTTATTTGGTTGTTCCTGTTCCCATTATTAGTTAATCACCTCATTGTGTTCACCTGTCTGCCCCTCATTATCTGCCCTATAAGTTCCTGTCTCTTGTATCCTAGTGTTGTCAGTTATTGTGAATGTTACCAATTTAATTGGAACTGGAATAATTTGGACATATAAGGTTCATGTAAAAATATATGTTTTACCATGGAATATGCTGTTACAAACTGCCTCTAAAAATCAATATTGAAATTTCAAAGTTGATAGAGACAATAAACTAGAGGCAGCTTTTCTGAATAACAACATTCACTTACAAAATTGCTTTGAATGACTGTGACAACAGGACCTTAACATGATTACTCATAAAACTATAAATGTTCCTATTATTTCCATAAACGGACGTAGCAGCTAGTCACTGGTTTTATAGAACATAAGGTAACGCTTTACATTACAACCTGCAAAGAACTATGTAAGTATACTGAATTTACGGTGTATGTTTCTGTAATTATAGTGTACCTACAAAGAATGTACATGTAGGTATAAGGGAACAATGTGCTACGTTTGTGTAATGAGGGGATAACTACCAGATATGCAACCTGCAAAGAACTGCATAAGTAAACTGAAGTTACTGCGTAACTTTTTTTGTAATTATAATGTACCTATTCAGTACCTCCGTGTAGGTATAGGGGAATGATATGCGACATTTGGGGAATAAAGGGGTAACAACCTGTAAAATTACAAATCATTTATACGGTAAGTATTTTGAAACTAAGGGGTACCTATTCTAATATTACGTGGTACGAATGGCCTAAACAACAATCTTATATTTGGGAGTGATTTAGAAAGACAATATACTTGTTATAATTTTATATTGGTATTTTATTATAGGCATAGGTATTTTTTAACCATTGGGTACATATTCTATTATTAAAGGATACATGATGGAGATTACTGAACAACAAAACTATTGAAATGAGTTAATGAGTTTCTGCTATGATTTATAATTCACAAGTCTACTTACCTTATGAAAGCTTATTTGTCGATCTCAACTGAGTCACACCAGCAACTTCCCAACACCAATATCACTAAATAACTTGGCATGATATACCATCAAGGTTCAATGCAGCTTAAAACAAGCTTACCTCTTTCCAGCTGTTCGCAGAAAAAATATACATGATACAACATTTGTATTTCAGTGGCTGTATACTGTGATGTGTTTATAGCAAAGTAAATAAATAAAATAAAATAAAAAAGTAGAGGGTTTAATTTGACCATCAAACAATTAAATTAAAACTAGTGCAATATTTTTCTCTGTAATTCCTGTGCAAATATACATTTGTTCTGTGTTTAAGTCCAACTTGGTCCTCCCATGTTCCATGTAGTTACAGGGTAAATACAACAGTTGCGGGCTGTAAATTAATGTGGTGCTTGTTCCCCCTTATTCCATATTTACAGGGTAAACACAACAGTTGCGGTTTGTAAATTAAAGTGGTGCTTGTTCCCCCTTATCCCATGTCGTTACAGGGTAAGTGGCTACAACAAATTGCGCTGAAACGATTGTTTATACAGTAGGACATACATATATTATATATCCGGTAATATATCAATAAACATGGTGGACTGTTTTATTTAATTCAAATATTGTTTGAAATTTACTATAGGCCTACTGCTGGGTTAAATTAACCCAAAATGTTTTTTTTTAATTAAAATCACACACAATATGACAATGGTAACAACACAGGCAACAGATATTAAAAGATTAATATTTATTACACCAGTTCAGAAAAAAAGCAAAGCAACTCCATACTTTTACAGCTTATAAAGCTTATACCAAATTCTTTGAAAAGCTTGTTTAAGAACAAATTTAAGATTTTGTTCAATTTGTTCATGTATTTCACCCACTGACGAAGTTAAACTATTATGGCCAAACCATCACGCCAATAAACGCACAGTAATAAACACTGAAAGTCAAGATTAAACTGTGTATTATAGCGAACTGAAAGGATTTGACCTTTTTAGGATTTTACTGTTTTGATCCACGTCCTCAAGCACCATTTTTACTAGTTCAGTTCCCGGTTTTACCGCTCATCAGTCACCGCTCAAAGTTGTGAGAACATACTGGGACAAAAAAAACCCCTCCAGTTTTAAAAGAACACATTACAGTCAGTTACAGACAGACTTGCAAATATAAGATTGTTAGGTCATACATACCACGTTATATTAGAATAGGTACCCCTTAGTTTCAAAATACTTACAGTAGAAATAATTTGTAATTTTACAGGTTATTACCCATTTATTCCCCAAATTTAGCATATTATTCCCTTATACCTACATGGAGGTACTGAATAGGTAATATAATTACAAAAAAGTTCCGCTGTAAATTCTGTTTACTTATGCAGTACGTTGCAGGTTGTAATATAAAGCGTTACCGAAACATAAACTAGTCCTTGATCTAGTGACACTACATTCATTAAAATAATCAAAACTTCTCAATGATACTCATTGTTGTCACACCCCTGTGGACTGTCGATTATGGTTTCTCCCTCTGTGTCCTTATTTGGTTGTTCCTGTTCCCATTATTAGTTAATCACCTCATTGTGTTCATCTCAGCCCAAAAGTGCGGGCTGTTCCCGAGTTAGGCCCACGGAGGGCCCCTGTTCCCGAGTTAAGCCCACGGAGGGCCCCTGTTCCCGAGTTAAGCCCACGGAGGGCCCATGATCCCCAGGTAAGCCCAGGAAGGCCCTTGATCCCCAGGTAAGCCCAGGAAGGCCCCTGATCCCCAGGTAAGCCCAGGAAGGGCCCCTGATCCCCAGGTAAGCCCAGGAAGGCCCTTGATCCCCAGGTAAGCCCAGGAAGGCCCTTGATCCCCAGGTAAGCCCAGGAAGGCCCTTGATCCCCAGGTAAGCCCAGGAAGGCCCTTGATCCCCAGGTAAGCCCAGGAAGGCCCTTGATCCCCAGGTAAGCCCAGGAAGGCCCTTGATCCCCAGGTAAGCCCAGGAAGGCCCTTGATCCCCAGGTAAGCCCAGGAAGGGCCCCGGTTCCCGAGTTAAGCCCACGGAGGGCCCCTGATCCCCAGGCAAGCCCAGGAAGGGCTTCTGTTCCCGAGTCAAGCCCAGGAAGGGCCCCTGTTCACGAGTCAAGCCCCCAGAGGGCCCCTGATCCCCAGTTCAGCCCAGGAAGGGCTCCTGATCCCCAGGTGAGCCCAGGAAGGGCTCCGGATCCCCAGTTCAGCCCAGGAAGGGCTCCGGCATATGGGCCATTTCTGGTACTTAACGACAAAAATAACTTACAAAAATAACAGAGCCAATGACTATACACATATGATGTTATAGCATCTTGCTAAATGTAGAAGTGTGTATAACTGTATAGGTGAAGCTACTGTATGTTAGTGGCTGTAAATACAATAAGACGCTTACCATTTGACCAATCTCTCCTGGCATTCCAGGGTCTCCCTGTGAGAGACATGATATATACAGTAGTCAACATTTGAAGTGGATCAAAACCTTTCATCAAAGTTGTCCTAAAATCTAAAACCAAAATGCATTCTTGTCTTAGAACAACTCTGATGAACTTTTTTGATCGACTTCAAATGTTGACTACTATATTTAACCATTATATAGGAACTGATAAGAAAACAATACAACTATTAACATCTCATCCATAGTCCTAAGTTTATAAAATGTTATTTAATATATTTCATATCATACTGAATATGATATTGGGGTGATGTAACAGAATTTAGAATTTTAGACTTTTAAGGGAAAGAAACAGTCTGTGACAAACACCAACACATTGTGTCATTGTGTGTCTCAGGTGTCCTACTTTATAGTCTTGGTAGATGCTTTTTTAATAAAAGAGAAGAAAACAGCATTTTCCAATATTTTCTATCACAAAAAAAGACACGTGAAACATTAAAATACATCAGTTTCAACTCTTGATCTCAATTTTTACACTCTTGCCTTGGTACAAATTAACAATTGAAAGTCCTGGTACATTTGCAAGCATGATCCTTCAACATGCTCTGCTTTTAGAGATACTTACAGGGAGCCCTGGGACTCCCCGAGGACCATCTTTTCCTGTGTCCCCTGGGGGTCCCCTGGGGCCTGGGGGACCTGGAGGTCCAGGAGGCCCTGGGGGCCCTGCTTGACCCTGGTCACCCTGTGAAAGTAAAATTGTAAATATGTGAAACATTATTATAAGTCAAAGAATAAAACATACATACATGTTTGTATGCAGTTTAAGGGGAAAAAGACTGAAAGGTCAATGAAAAGTTGTAATCTCTCTTATCTCACAGTATTAAACAACATTAGAATGAAGGCCCAATATATTTCAAGTGAAATCAGAGAATACACTTATGTCTTATGTCATTTTCAAGAAAATCAGATCAAAACAAAGTTTATCTGGAGTTTGTTTCAAGGAGTTTGAAACAGCTTGCCAAAGCAGACTTTCTAAAAAAGGAAATTGTGTTATTGAAAGGAAAACATGCAGGACATAGGTCTTATTTACATATTCAACTAAATGCCACTCTCAGCAGCATTGACAGCATCGGGATGTGTGATAACAGTATACCTCTGCTTGCATATTTCAAACTTCTCTTTACCACTAAGTGAGGAACAAAAATAATTTCACAGTCAGTATACTGGGGCCTTCAGGCTACAGATGTAATGTTTACTCTCTATATTAATCCAATCAGTTATTTACATTTACATTTAGTCATTTAGCAGACGCTTTTATCCAAAGCGACTTACAAATGAGGACAAATTATGGTACAATTCAATTTTACTGTGAGGATTCCCTTTCACAATTTTGGAGCATAATTGCTTTTAATCATTTCCAAATTTTTCCCCCTTATATAAAACATAAATCATGTATATTAAGACTTTTTTATTCATGCAAAGCTATTGTGCTGATTTTAATGGGAAGGAAAGATCATCTGTCTGCGTAAGTGGAACAATAACATTTTGATTTATACATATTTGGGTTTTCAGTTTACTTATTCTGTATATATTTTTTCTTTTAACAGACAACTCATATTTCTCAACTCATAATTTTGTGTGCAACAGGTCATAACCACAATTCCACAAAGAAGGCTTAGAATTCAGAGCCTCCTCATTTTTGCAGCCCAAATTTTAGGCTGATATATGACAAACAGTATTCATGGTAACACTTTAGAATACTGTTCTGTCATTAATAAATAACTTCACAAGAACACCTGAGTAATGCAGTATTAGCACTCTAGTAACTACTATTAACTAACAAGAAACTGATTCATGAATTATCAAGTAATAGTGCTTAGTCCAATGTGGTAGTTTACTATTAGCTCATAGGTAACTACTACTTTTTCATACCTCGTAGAGAACTACAAAGAACTACTGTATACAGGTTCATATGAATAATGCAAAACGTATAATTAATTCTAAATTGAGAGTCATGGTAACCCATTAGTAATGACCCAAGTATTAACAAATCCTTCAAAATAAATTACTAATTATTTGTATCAATATTCTGAAGTGAATAACATGATAACTCTATACTAATGACTGAAATCATTGCAAGCTTTAGAGGGTTTTGTAAAGTATTGGATAGTAATGACTCAAGTGTTACTACATCCTTCTAAAGGAATTACTAATTATTTGGATCAGTATTCTAAAGTGAAGATCATGATAACTCCCTAGGAATGACTGAAGTCATTGTAAACTTTTGAGGTTTTTGGAAGATTCTGGATAGTTATTCCTTCTGATAGATTTGGTAACACTTGAGTCATTATCATGGATTACCATGATCTTCACTTTAGAATACTTGAGTCATTATTATCCAAAACCTTATATACTGTATACCTCAAAAGCTTACAATGGCTTCACTCAATATTAGGTAGTTATGCTTTTCACTTAGAATACTGATCCAAATAATAAGTAAATAATTCTGAAGGGTTTGGTAATACTTACTACTAATACTAGTGTAACTAGTAATACTAGGGTAATACTAGTCATTACTAGCTGGATACCATGACCTTCTCTTTAGAATTAATTATACATTTTGCATTATGCACATTAATTATGAACCTGTATATAGAAGTTCTTAGTAGTTCTCGGGAAGATAAGAAAAAATAGTTACTGATTAGCTAATAGTGAACTACCACTTTCAACTAAGCACTATTATTTACTGTAGTAATTAATTAATCAGGGTTTATTGTTAGTTAATAGTAGTTACTAGAATGGTAATAGTACATTAGTCATTTGTTCTTGTGTAGTCATTCATTAATGATGGAACAGTATTCTAAAGTGTTACCCATCATTCTTACTGTTGCATTAATTTTACTAGTTACTAGTCCAGCTGAGCACTGTGGTTAAAGCTGAAGAATGGAAAGCAAATTCTGGACCAAAGGTGAGAAGCCCAGTCTAATGGAGCAGTGAGAAAGAGAACAGAATGAGGACAAGCACTACCTTAATGAGTCGACGTTTAATGAGTTGCTGATCAGCAGAAAGAAAGCCATGATTTATCTTAGGGAAGACCATCTGAGCAGGTGTGAGGTCAAAAGAGGTCGGAGGTCAAAAGTGAGAGAAGTCGGAGAGGAGAGTTGCATGAGGTCCCGGAAAGAGGAAGAGAAAAGGGAATAAAAAGGGTACAAAAATAAATCAGATTAAAGTAGTTGAAGTTGAGTCAGAGAACACAACCCAGTACCTTCATGCATTAGTAAAAGTTGACATTTTCCATGATGGCAGCAATGGATGTCTTGACTGCTTTTGGCAAAGCCTGTAATTACCACTTCATGGGTGCTAGGTCACCCACTCTGAGAAGGCCAATTTGAAAAAAAAAAAACATGTCAACTTCTACTCACTGAAAGCACTGTCGTTAGAGGGTTTTTTAAGCCAAGGCAGACTACTGGAATAGCACACACTGAAAACCATCATGCAGATGTATTTGTCTTTGTCAGTGTACTCTAAATTAGACAATTACATAGTCCTGCTATCTAAAGGGGGTACCTGTAATTACAAGAACAAAAATAATTATGTCAGTATAGATTAAAATATTGCATGATATGGCCCACTAATTATATTTGTGATTCTGGACATTTAAGCAGGCAGTAAAGGAATCATATTTTTGTGGTTTCGGGTTGGATTTGTGGTAAACTAAAGATATCAGTTTCAAATACATCTCAACATTTTAGTTTAGCAATTAATGTGTCTCTCTTGAGTTATTACCTTCGTAGAATCCAAGCAGACAGTGGTCAGACTAGTTGGTGGTCAGAAAATATGACTCTTGTTTAAAATTAATCACACTTCACTGGTTTATTAGGGGAAAGAAACAGTTGCTCTGTTGTGAATGCATAAATTCCTGTCACCACACTGTATAATAATAACACCCCTGGAACTGGGAAAGAGGGTCAGATGGTTGGAATGGATTTATCAGACACTATTGTGTTTGGGCCAAGTCTGTCATTGCATAGGCATAGGGGACAAATGCACTGTTGACATCTCAGAGTGTGCCATCCATAGAATCTGCCTTGGCCATTTGGCTGCGCCAACAAACCTTCACAGTCAGGATTTGATTGCTGTGTAATGCAGCCAGAGTGGGTAGACCAGGAAGTCCCTGGGGACAAACAGCACAAAAATGGCACAATACAAATACAGCACAGGATGACAATAAAAGCCATTCACTCCACAGAAGAGTGCTGCATCAGTATGACTCAAAATGTCAAGTTTAAAGAGGTCTTCTTTTTGACAAAGAGGCTTTCACACACTGCGGTGTTATGATGCTAAATTAATTTTGATTTGATCTCATCAGTGCACTTAGCTAAAAACAGACTATAGGTATTTCTTACTCATTTACTTTGGATTTGTGCTCTCATATTGTGTGCCAATACCCTTAAATTAAAAGTTGAATACTGTTTGTAGTCTTGCAGTATTTGCTATTTGATCATAAACCTAAATTACTGAATATTTTGTAAACTAGGCTATGTAGCCTACATGTTTTTTTCTTACTCAATGGAATGCTAACAACAACAGCAAAACAACACATCAGTTAAAATGCAGGGAAATACCATGCTTATGAGATATTCCATCCCACCATGTTATGGGAAGTAATTTGAATTGCATGGCTTATTTAGTAGATGGATACAAAGGTAACCACATCATCTTCTGTTTTGGTACTCAAGCAAAAAGCACTTGCAAACAAAATTACTGACAAAACAAAGTAGTTATAATTTCAAGTAATGTGTCCTTTGGAAAGGATATAGTGCAGCAACTTAATCATTTTCAGAAATATTTAAAAGTTGAAAAATAAGAACAGACAAATATAAATTATGTATAATAATGATTACTACGGTAATAGCTAAACCAAAGAGTTCTGCTGTGTTTCTGCTAGTCTCCTGTCTATGTTTCATTCTTGTTTGTTTTGCAATAGATTTGATCAATTTGTATAGAAACAGTACAACTTAGTAACTTAGGTTAAAATAGTCCTTGGTTTTGGCTGCCATTTTTCTACAGTCAACTCTACTGTAAGCATGCATGTGTCACAGTTATGTTCTGTGTGAAGTGTCTCTTTTCACTGTTGCACTGTGGCAGGACACAGCTATGTGTGTTACTAAGCGTGAAAGTTCCGAAACTGAAGCTGTAGAACGTGATGACACACGTATCCACAATATCCACATTGACTGCCACAAATATCCACCGCCCCCTGCCATCAGCTCCCACGTCTCACACACACACACGAGCGCGACTTCAGTGCTAGATTTAGCAACTTTCAGACGCTTTTTTTTTCCATAGAATATATATATATATATACACACACACACACTGACAAACCTAGCGACTTTTTTGGATAAACCTTAGCTATGATTCAGTTGGAAGATGATGTCGCCAGTGCTGCCCCGCGAGCGCGAGGTCTGACTCTCCCAGCGCAGTCTCGTCCAGTGCTAGATTTAGCAACTTTCAGACGCTTTTTTTTTTTCCATAGAATATATATATATACACACACACACTGACAAACCTAGCGACTTTTTTGGATAAACCTTAGCTATGATTCAGTTGGAAGATGATGTCGCCAGTGCTGCCCCGCGAGCGCGAGGTCTGACTCTCCCAGCGCAGTCTCGTCTCTCTCGGCATCTGTTCGGTGCAGTGAGCGGCAGAGAAGCATCGCTTTCATCGTTTCCGAGCACCTGTCGCTTACTGATTGTTTGGAATAATAAATATGAGCATAGCTTGTCTAATAATAATATAAGAATTTTTTTTTTATGGAAGTTTTTTTGTTTTGTTACTCAGACGCAGGCAGTGCACTGCATGAGACAAAAAAGTAATACAGCCAAAACCACCGCATAGCCGCTCAACATGCATCTACTGTACATGCATGTTGATTTTATCAGACGATGTAGCGATTATAAATGAGAGTGACTCCTGGTTAACATGTATAAATGGGTTGTGTTTCGTCACTATTTAGAGTGGAATTTTTCTACAATATTCACTCATCATGACAGTAAAATAGGGCATTCTAAGTCAATCTACTGCAGTAGTCTATTTCCTCTCTCAATCAGTAGAAAATGTGGTTTACACCCGGTCATGCATGTGTAGCAAGAGGCCCAGTTGTAGTGACTACGCCACCCCGGACTACCAGGGAAAATAACCCAAAAAAGGTCACGCAAATACGTTCCACATGAAAAGAGCAAGAGGCGTGAATCTCCGTACAAACAATCTTTTATTAAGGCTAAAATAATTGGCCGATATTAATTTAAAACCCACAGCCGGCACACACCAAGGTCATCGGTCCAAAAAAGAAAAAGAAAAAACATCCAAATAATAATAATGCTGTAGAAAGCGGAGTCTTCCTATATGAGAAGCGGGTGAATGTAACAGCACCAGGTAGGCAAAAGAGAAAAATCACACCAATCAGTATCACACCCACAAGATTAACTGCAAATAGTAACACAGCAATAGTGACACACACGAAAATGGCCACCCCGAGTGAAATAATATCCGTGTTGCTGTCAAAACCTGACCCGCTCCCGGAAGCACTCCACTCCTACAAACAAAAGAAAAACGAAAACATCACATTAAAAATAAACCACAAACTGAAGGTCCATATTCAGAACAAAAGAAACTAAGGGAAACAAATCACTTTTGAAAAAGGGTTCACAAAGTAAGAAAAAAAATAAGATTACAAATTACTCAAAACAAAATACCAAACAGAAAACAAACAAATAAACATCAAGCCCACTTGGATACTAGACATGGACGTAATTAAACTCCCCAAAAGCAACAGCGTGGCTCGAACAATGCAGAATAGGAAACGAGCTGTATTAATTACCACTTCTGCTCAACCTATTCCAAAACACACAGCACAATTACAACAACAATAAAACATCTGAAGTTATTTAGCTATTAGAGCGATTTACCTACCCGTTAATACGATGGTGTAATGCTCATGACAACAGATCATACAACAACAACCTCTTTAAAGGCTCCTCTTTAAAAGGTGACAGCTACAACAACTGGTGCTACGACCTGGGCTACGTTACACTGCAAGGCCACAATCAATGGGAGCCATGAAGGCACACCACACTGAAACACAAAAACTCATTAAGCTGAACACAATTTCCCCCAGCTTCCCAAACGTCATTAACTTACCTGAGAGCCAACAACGCACCGCACCCAGTATATCTCAGCAGCCTAACAACACACTAAAGAGGTACAGATCGCACAAATCACTAAACAACACTCCAACCAGACAGCTAAGCTAAATGGCTAAAAACACCTACCTTGGAAGGCCACAACAGGAAGGAAGAGGCGGGCTTTCGACCATGACACACAGCAAGAGGCAGAACCAACCAACTTATATACCCTAAACGGGCGATCGCTCATTGGCCACATAATTAATAATGGTGACGTTTTAGCAACATCACTACACATGGAAAAAATAAAACATAAATAACGTCATATACCGTGAAATCTGTATAATTTTGAAAAATACCATGATATAAATTTTTGGTCATACCGCCCACCACTAGTGCTGAGTAAGAGTGCTAGCGCTTCTCTGCTGTCTTCACGTGCTGTCGGAAACTTCCTATTTTCAACTTATGAAGTAGTGAGCGCTTCATGTGAGCGCTGCTGCAGTCTTAGGCCCACCCCAAATGCTCTCATTGGTTGAGATGCGTGAAAAAATAAAACATAAATAACGTCATATACCGTGAAATCTGTATAATTTTGAAAAATACCATGATATAAATTTTTGGTCATACCGCCCACCACTAGTGCTGAGTAAGAGTGCTAGCGCTTCTCTGCTGTCTTCACGTGCTGTCGGAAACTTCCTATTTTCAACTTATGAAGTAGTGAGCGCTTCATGTGAGCGCTGCTGCAGTCTTAGGCCCACCCCAAATGCTCTCATTGGTTGAGATGCGTGATGACACCCATCCCAAGCCAGTACTGATCAGCATCCCACCCCTCCTGTGACCCATGGTTTGTCTATATGTGTATTCAGAGCCAGTGAGCAACGGACTTTCATAATAATAAAAAACTGCATTAAT